ACATTCCCTTCCAGCCAGGAGGGAAAAACCTAATTAAAAACAGGCCTGCTTTACACTTTACACTCCTGACAACACCATTACCAGTAGCTGAAAATATCTAGTTTCTAAAATATAAACCATGTATTCCACAGATTCTATCAGACCTTACACCACCCAATGAACCAACACACGTGTCAGCTGGAATAACCATGGCCATGTTTTCATTCAAACAGTCGAGACAGGAAATAAAATCCAAATAAAACCTGAATATTCTATTAATAACTGTGGGGGTTTTTTTTCCAGTAGGAAGTATTTTCTGTTTTGCACGTGTTTGATAAGTGAGGCTTAGAGAAATTCATCTCATTAGGCAGAGTCACCTTTAAAGAAAAGACTTTACAGGAAAATTATACATCAAGTAGTTGTGTAAAACCACTACCTAACTGAAACACAGACTGAACTACACTGAAAACATTTCATTATACAAAAACTGGTGTTTATCACTGGCACAATATTAAACTGTAATAACTGCAAAATATTTTACCTTCACTCTTGTGTTACACATTTTACCCAAGGTCCTGCTGTACCAAACAGCTGCATTAAAGCAGATGCACATGGCTCAGGCCCAGTCAGTCCATCTAGGCACATTTAAATGTGCCACACATCTGATTTCCAATGTCCTGCTGCTAAAGGGAAAAAAATCCAAGGCAAACCATTACCGGTCATTCCGCAGGTTGTCCTCAAAGACCTTGAGCAAAGTCTCACAGAAACTCTCCATAGCACTGGGATCACTCTGGATTTTCTTCATGTAGTCAAACAGGCTCTGGGCAGAGTATCTGAGCTGCAACAGAAGGAGCCTCCAATGAAGGACAGAGTTGAACCCAGTGTGGTTCAGCATGCTCCAAAAACAACACTGGTGTGTGTCCCTGTGTGCCCAGGATAACCTAGGCCCTGACACTGAAAGGTCTTTACAGGACACACAACTTTAGCAGAGATTGCCTGAAAACTGATAGCCTGGTTAATTATGACCAATCTCTGCATTTAAGACTGCTACAAGTAAAGAAGAAATATTTTGTCTTAACACCTTACCCCAGCAGAAGAGCAGAAGAAAGGGCATGTCTGAGCCCATCTCAGAAAGAGATCTTAAAAGGTGTCATTTTCTCTCCTATTTCTTTTGTCTCAAACTACCTCACAGATCTCACACCATTTCTTGAAGGAAGCTGAATGACTCAAAGCTTTCCCTGCAGATTCAGATGGCTGAGTGGACAAGAATGGGCATGAAAGAAAAGGGCAACAAGCACAGCTACATGTACAGTGCTCCAGAGATGTACAAATCTCAGACAGAGCAGCAGGATATCAGACCCACTGGAGAATGAAGACAGGGTTTCTCCATTAGAAAGCAATTAAACAATATAAAAGTACAGGTGTGGATAAACTATCACATAACTACTTGGGAGACTGAAAAATGGGCCATTTTCCCAACAGTTGGCATAGACCATAGGAACTGTACTGGAAGAACCTCCAAAACACAAGAAACATGACATGAAGAGGTTAAATCCCTATTTCCTCCTCAGGTGAACACTCCTGTTGTCCCAGATTTGGTATCTGAGCTATAACCTGAACTGCTCCTGAGTATTTGCAGAGAAGAGCATTTCCAAATGTCTTCCTCATCTATGCAGAACACAAATTCACACTACATCACATGTGTGACATTTACCTTTCCCTGGGGTTCCACAAGGACTAGGCAAGGAAATTAGGAGGTTAATGGGTTGGAACTGGGACAACTTTGGATACAAATTTAAGAGGAGGCCTGAGAATGACCTTACTCTATGAAACAGTAAAAACAGGGTTTGCCAAGGCTTGACTCTCCCAACATTTAAGCCAACAGGAGATACTGCAGCGACAGGCAGCACACAATACATCGATCACCGTTCAAAGGAACTGTTCCTATGATGATAAAACTCAAGTCCTAAGGATTTTACATCCTGAACCAGGGGAAGAGTATGAGGAAGTGTAGCTACACGAAGGGGAGAGGCACCTACAGCTCTGGGCAGGCACCTGGTGTGGTTTCTACACAAACCTTCCTGAAATTGTTCAGAGGCAGCTTGTTACAAACCTGGAGTACAATGTTTTGGAGAACAGTTTTGAGGCAACAAGTGGGACTGATACGGCCAAGAGAAGATTAGCTTAGGCATCCAGTTTGTAACAGAGCACCCAAAACATCAGCTCCCCATCAGTGACAAAGATAGCACTTTGAAGCACCTGATGAAAACGCCAGTGGGATGTGATGAACAGCAAGAGCTTGTACAGGAGATGTTCAGTAGATGGACAGACGCTAATGGTTGTCTCTCTCCCATCTAACCAGTCTCCTTGGAGCCCCAGGCACCTCCACAGAACTCAGACTCCACACCTAACACACCTCAAATGGAAGCCAAGTGAGGAACTACAGGGTTGGAGAGAGGTGGGGGATGTCTCTCCTGCCATGCCTGCAGGGAGAGGACTAGAGGGAATGGTCCTAAGCTGAGACAGGGGAGATTCAAATTAAATGTTAGGGAAATGTTTTCCCTGCCAGGGTGTTCAGGCACTAGAATATAGCCCAGGGAGGTGGTGGAGTCACCATCCCTGGAGGTGTTGAAGAGGCATCTGGATCTGGCACTGGAGGATCTGGTTTAGGGTTTAGGGGTTACAGCAGAGTGGCAGGTTAATGGCTGGACTTGATGGTTTCCAAGGTCTCCTCCGACCTTGATGATTCCATGATTCCAAGGCCTCCTCCGACCTTGATGATTCCATGATTCTGTAACCACTGGGAAAGCCCAGACACAGCCAGATCCACTGATAACTGCTAAAGGCTCCAGTTTTCAAAGCAGCATTTTGACAGGGTAAGACCTACTCTCAGAGCCAGGATATGCCTGCAGAAGAAACCACATTATGCCAATAAATATCCAAACCAAGTCTGGACCATTTCTAATCCTGATGCCTTTACAGCCCTGAAGTGACAGTAGCCTGTTTTCGCAGTAGCTTAGAGAAGAACTGCATATAATTCACATTTTAGCCCAGGTGAAACCATGTCCCCCTTTTTTACTTGCAACACTCTTTTAACAAACCAAACATTTGGAGGTCAGTAACTCTGAGACTCAAACCAGTGACACTTGAGGAGTAGAGATATCATAATTCACATGAGTTTTTTCTTTAAAAAAAAGAGTGCCAGAAATTATTCTCAAATGCATTTCACTCAAGAACTGTCAACCAAGAAAACAGGATTTAGGGCCTCTTTCTTCAAACCAAATATGCATTCATTTGCACACAATTTATCCCAGTAACCAGATGCTTTGGAACAGGAACTGGAGCACAAGTGCCATGAGGAGAGGCTGAGGGAGCTGGGGGTGTTCAGCCTGGAGAAGAGGAGGCTCAGGGGAGACCTTCTCACCCTCTGCAACTCCCTGACAGGAGGTTGGAGTCAGGTGGGGGTTGGTCTCTTCTCCCAGGCAACCAGCAGCAGGACAAGAGGGCACAGACTCAAGCTCTGCCAGGGGAGGGTTAGGTTGGATATTAGGAAGAGATTTTTTCCAGAGAGAGTGCTCAGGCATTGGAATGTGCTGCCCAGGGAGGTGGTGCATTCACCATCCCTGGAGGTTTTCAAGCTGAGACTGGATGTGGCACTTAGTGCCATGGGCTAGTAACTATGGCAGGGTTGGACTGGATGTTCTTGGAGGTCTTTTCCAACCCGGTTGATTCTATGATCATCTACAAATGTCCCAACATTTTCCTTTGTACAATCCACAACAGTAACATAGCCCTGGCACTGGCCTGGGAGAAAACATCTCATGTTCTAAATAGGCTGCTGATTTTTTTTTTCCTAAGGTTTTACTTACAGTTTCCATAACGTTATAAAATGTAATTTTCCCTCTTTATGGGGAAAGAGGAATCACAGGACATTCTGTGCTTCAACTACATTTTAAACACAGTGTAGTTCAACAATAATGAAATTAGATCAAAATTATATCCTGACCCCTGCAAGTGCAGGGTCTGTGCCCTGGAGAAAGAGCAGCATTGTGCAGTGCTGATCTCCACAGACTGAGAGGGGTTTCATGCAGCCATAAGAAATATGCATCACTGTGGGCCAGATGTAGAATTAGAAGATTCTTTTACACAGAGAAAGTGCCCTTTGAACCCTGGTGATGGAGCTGAGTGCCAAACCCCACAGGGAATGACATCTCCTGTTTTTCCAGCTCACTTCCAATGCCTGAGCTCCAGTTTTTCCAGCAGCTTCACTGCCACCAAAACGCTGCCGAGACCCCACACGGCCTGTTCCAGAAAATCTCTTTCAAAGCCAAACAAAGAACTTCTCTTGCTAAATATACTGCAAAGCAATTTGAACTGGAAAAATAGCCACTGACCACGGAATTACAACAGAGCCTTTCTCCTGCTAATTCCCTGAGATGACTCAAAGACAAACTGACATTTGAACTCAGATTATCTCACAGTATACAAGAGAATCTTCTGACTTTCTAACTCCCATGTCCATGTGTGTGTGTGCAGAGATATTTTTTCAGTGAGAGAGGGAAGAGAGTCACGAGAACACACATGTTACTGCACGAACCCATACTTGAATAATCCTTTCCCTTCATCCAAGATTTAAAAAATCTGCCTCTTTCATATGGATCTAATAGAACAGTTCTGAAAACTTTCTATCAATGTCTTAAATCAGTCCCTGGATATTCAGCAAAGAATGTTGCAGCTTTGGCAGAGCAGTTCGAACACAAGTTATTATAAAACACATCCATTCTAATTTCTAGATCACATTTTAGATGCTCAGTGTAATTCACCACACACCTATAATCCCAAGTGTAAGTACTCTGCACTGTACTTCTAGTTGACTGGAAGAGTATTAGGTCATCTTCTTTCTAAAGCCAAAGCCCTTGAGAATATTCTAACCGGAACAAGCTTTGGCGTTACAGAAAACTTCAGGGTCACAGAAAGTTAACATTGCAAAATCACAGTCTGAAAACAGTGCAGAAGGTTTCCCTTAACACACTGGCAGATGGTAACAAGGGAATGGAGCTGCAAGTAACCAAACTGTTTCCACTTTTCATAACCAAGTGCAGTCAGAACTTAAAAAAAAAAAAAAAATTAAAATGAGGAATAAGAATTTTCCCCTGCCCTCAGTTCGCAGCCAGAATGTCTGTTCTCCATGACTTTCCTTCTTTTCATATTTAGATGACTCACTTTGGTTTTGGTGGAGCCTCCTGCAATTAACTGTGATTGACTACAAGCTGAATTCCATGTGCATGTTTGCCATTAAAGAAATCTGTTAAGAGTTACATTGTCTGTCCAGTAATTATTGTCACAAACCAATAAGCATATGTTCCAAAGCTTTAAAATAGCTCTTGCTATATAATTAGTTCCCATTTTAGAAACATTAAAATGCTCAAATTTGGTTTAAATACATGAGACTGCACAGACAGCAAACACTCAGCTACATCAAACCCAAAGGCTTAAGGACATGTCTTGATTCCAAGGGAAGAACCCATGGCACCAGGCAAAAAACCACCATTTGGGCATGTTGTGACTGAGAAGCCATGGGAGACAAGGTGATTTTACCTCCTTCCTCCTGTGACCCAGCAGGAGCTGTTCCCTCTCCACAAAAACCCTGTTTTCCCAATACTTTTCATTTTTCGACCAGCTTTCTTAATTAGAGATGGAAATCTTAATTAGAAACACTCTGAACCACTGTTGGGGTGCTGACTCACAACCTCCCCCTGTGTTACAGGACCACTGGGATTTAAAGACTTAACTGACAGTCCAAAATATCCTGGCACTGGTCTGATATTTCCCTGTGGTGTCATATTGAACCATGTCTTCACCCCAACGGTTCTTTTCTTAGCTGTTACATCTTTGGCTCCATCAAATCACAAAAATATCAGAAGTCAAATACCTTGAAACCAAGAATTCTGAAACCACCAACACAAGCTGTAATCTAAGGACAGAAGGATACAATAAAATAATAGTAAAGTTGAAGAATGTGGCAGCATAACAGAGCTCCAAAGAGAGATTGATTGTGCCAGAAAAATGAAATAGTGATTGCAAAGCCCAGAGGGCTGAGACAGAATTCTGAGTGGTATTTCTTGGTAATGGAACCTCTGGCATCTCACTGGTACTTTAGTAGCAAGTGTATCAAAATGAAAAAAGATCAACCTGAGCACACTGTTAACACATATTGACAACCAATGGCTAACACCTTGCACCAGGTGGCAAATGAGAACAGGTTTGAACAGAGCAATCACCTTGCACTGAGCCACAGCATGAGCTGAAGGGCTCTGCCTGTGTTCCCAGCTGGGAGGGACAGCACACAGAGGTGAGAGCTGAGAGCCAACAGCCTGGAACTCTCAGGTTCTGCCAGGCCAGCAAAGGAGAAACAATGCAGCCTCACTCCTTGCTCCTGCACGTTCAGCAAGTCAAGATAATTCTGCTTTTTAGGATAAAAAATCAGCAGCTCATCAGATGTACAGGTATGGCTTGATTTCTTTCAGAAGTCTCTCATCTGACTTCCCACAGCAATCCCTAACTGCAGTATCCTCTGTCAGAGACTGAACACTGAGGCACCAGTTGGATCAGGGCAGTGCATTCATAGAATCATAGAATCAACCAGGTTGGAAGAGACCTCAAAGATCATCAGGTCCAACCCTACTGTGGTCACTAGCCCATGGCACTAAGTGCCACATCCAGTCTCAGCTTGAAAACCTCCAGGGATGCTGAATCCACCACCTCCCTGGGCAGCACATTCCAGTGCCTGAGCACTCTCTCTGTACCAGGCTGTGCTCTTACCGTTGTCTCTGTGAGTCCTCCCACAGACACTGAGAGGCCCAAGAGCACATAGTACTGGTATGATGGCAAGCCCAAGAGCTGTGTGATCCGAGGGAAAGCTTCAGATGCAGCATTCCAGTTTAAAGTTTCTTTCTCTGACCTGGGGAAAAGGGAAAGAAAAAAATCATCTTGTATGGATGCACTGCCTTTCTTCTCCCCACATTGCTACAATAGCTCCTTCACCTCAGTGAAGAAAGGCTCTGAAGTACCCAAAAATCAAATTAAATACTGGTCTTTGAGCATATGGGGAAAATATAAATCAAAACTTCAGCCACTTCCAGTAAAGGCAAGGAATCTTCAAGTCCTTGTTCTGATCCAGGTAAGGGATTTGTACCAGAGTTTCCTTTTCCCAGGTACTTTTCTCTACACCCAGAAACCAAGTTCTCTTCCTGGAGTTTCATTTTGAGTTCTTGCCCATCAACAGCTACTCAACAACTGATCCAAAGCCAGATTTATCCCAGGAAAGGCTGACACACATACCCTCCCACCACAGAGGGATCAGCAGCCCTGCAGACCAGAGCACCTGGAGTTACAGCAGGCTGAGATTCTCCTGAACACACAGCATGAGGACACAGAGAGGGATGTTCCTCATCCCAACCAGGTACCATCATTACCATTCAGGAAGGAGCTGCTTTCACTCTTGCTTTAACTTGTTTTCCATACATGTATTGGGCATTTGGGCACAAAATTTACATTAGGTTACTTGTGCTAGGTGTAACTGTGTGCATGGATCTTATTTTCACTTGCTTAGGATAAGTTCTTCAATATCTTACCTTGGGAATATCCTCTCCAGCTCTTCTCGATGAGGGATGTGTGGAACTGGAGGATGGTCAAAGTGCAGGAGAGTAAGGAACACAGATCCTGCATGAGCTCGGAATTTGTCTATTTTTTCAGCTGACTGCTGAGCCAGCCAGCACATAATCTGTTTGCAGCTACAGAGAAGAAAACAATCACATAATTTAAGCAGTGGAATGTGTCTTGAAATTGTTACAAGAAATCAAAACTATCCTGCTATGGAAATATTCTGCTGGAAATCTTCAGAATGAATGTACAACTGATTTGAGACATCCACATGGTGACAGAATCCTAAAGCTTTTTCTTCCATACATCAATCAAAAACCATCATGGCATTAACACCACACAGGATTTCATCCACCTTTTACACATATTGCCCCAACTTTGATCCAAGAAGGTCAGAAAGTGCTTTATGGTCTGGATGAATTCCTACATTTCAGCTGGAGATTGAGCAGAAACTTTAAAGAAAAGCATAGTTTTTAGTAGAAAACTGCACACATACCAGAGGACAAGGTCTATCCCAAATCTCATACATCCTAAATTAATCACTTCCTCAGCTCTGGCTAGTTTTTAACACTATCTTTTTTTGCTTATGTTCATACCTAAACTCTCAGCTACAACACTGTGTCCCACAAGGCCCTTTACCTCTTCAGAAAGAACAACTAATGACAGTAAAACCAGCTAAAATTCCTTCAGTTACAGAAAGACCAAGAATATTAAGAAAATGGGATCCAGCTGGGAGGAATACTTTGCTCAGCTTCATGTGGATAATCTGTGTCTGCAGCAGATCAATAGGAAGGAAACCCCTGGACAACTGGCACTGGTGAGAAGTGTATTCCTATAGAATCCAGTCTTTTCCTTCTAAGTGTCCTTCAAAGTTTGGGGTTTTTTAAATCAACAAACAAATGATGTCTATATTCACCTAACCATTGGCACAGTCTGTCCATAAACCAACACCACTATTAGGGAGGTTTTGCTCCAGCTCAAGCTATGCTTAAAAATTATTATTTTTTTTTTACTGTTGGGGTATTGTATCAGAACTACAAACCAGAAGCTCAGTGTACATTCTCTTTTTCTGTATTTCCTTACTAATAACTCTGCAAAGCAACAGACACAAACTCATTCCCATGTCTGAGCCCATTCCCAATCAACGATGCAATGCTCTGGATAAGTGGGTGAGTTTGCTTCCTGTTGTACTGCCAAGCTCCACAGAAGTGACAGGTTCAGCCCAAATCTCACAGCTGTGCTGCAATTCCAAGGTGGCACTGCCACCCAGGTGCTCTCAGTAAGGTCACTCTCTCTGAAAACCAGAGACAAGATCCTCCACATCCACGTGGGTGTGAGCTCAACATACTATTATCAGAGGCTCTGTCACACTCAGTGAAGGAGGAAGTACACAGAGTACAAATGATGCTGTCTTGTGTGGCCTGGAATGCAGTTCTAAGAGATAAGACACAGAAGTAGCACAGTTACATACATGTCAGTGCTAATTAACTCTGCCTCGTTCTGCACCAGCAGCAGTGTCACCTCCATCAAACTGGTCATGGCAGCCTCGCGCACCCTGTTGGAACAGAGACACATCAGAGGAGTTACATCAGTGTTTTCTTCAATAGATACATCAGCAGTTAAGTTAGACACTGGCAAAGATTCCAAATAATGGAAGCACTGTGCTCTGAGAGCAGCTACCAAATTTTGGGGAGGAAGAGGAGTGTGGACAGCTACACCCCCAGGACCCATTCCATGGACCGAAGCACACGTTGCACTGAGGGAACAAGTCATCCCAGCCAGATGTTGCCAAGTTAATTTCTTATTTTAAGAAGGTTGAAATGGATGATTAGTAACATTTAGTATGCAACTAGATGTATTTAAATTTAAGTGCTTTGTCTGCTTCAAATGTGAAGGGACCTGGATAGGCTGGAGAGAGAG